CTCGAGGACAGGGCCAATCAGAGTGAGTCAACACACAAACGCAAAAAAAACAACATGATATGAACTTTATATTATCTAATTTGTTTTTTTATTTAGTATATTTATGCATTTATTTATTTTAAACCACATTTATTAACTTTATCAGTTTAAATTATGTTTTAAAAAGTTTAAAATGTTCTCCTCAGAACAAAATACACCGGTGTCATCTGCAAACGTGACAAACTTTAACTTATCGGGTATTATTTGAGTGAAATGAAAATAAAATGGGTCCCAGTACAGATCCCTGTGGGACACCACCACTTCTTAGATAAGAGATAAAACAGAAAAATGAATTAGCTTCTAATAATCTACATTTACTGATTAGTGCCATTTCAATACTGTAAAATTATGAGATTACGAGACGAGCTAGCTTTAGCATCCGTCTGATTGGACACTTTTAAAAACCGACATTTAGAGATTTATTGTGAATCTAAAATCAACATCACAGTTTGTGCCACTATGAATTCTAATCAAGTTTACCAAAGTGCTGCACAATAAAATTAAAAGAACAGACACTGCAGAAAAAACATCAAGATGAAATAAATACCGAGATACTGTTGTTTTTATTTTTGAGTCCACAATCATCATGAGGTGATAATATAAAATCATAACAGCTGTAATCTTAACGATCACCATGTCACCGTGCTATAAAGGGTTAAAAGTCTAAATTAAAAAATACCGTAAATATTGTAAAAGGAGGTAAAATAAATGAGTGTAAAAATAAAAACTGATTTTTGGCTCCATGAGACGAGGGCGCTCTCCAGCTGTGATTTATTTTATCGTTTTTATTTTTTCTACTCAAACCAACACGAACAAAGAGCAACACTGACTCAGTCTGTGTGTGTGTGTGTGTGTGTGTGTGTGTGTGTGTTTGTGAGTGAGTGTGTGATGTGGCCGCCCTATGGGTGCCTCCAGGGCTAAGCAAAACCTACTGCCCCTATACCCCAAACACACACACAAATACACACACACACATACACAAACACACACACACACACACACACACACACACACACACAAACACACACACACACACACATACACACACCTAAAAACATACACACACACACACACACACCCCTGAGGGCAGGGCAGAAGAGTCCAGGTAGAAGCTCTGACAGCCCAACAGCTGCAGGTTAGACAGACATGTTGCACACAAACACACACACACACACACACACACACACACACACACACACACACACACACACACACACCAGAGGACAAACCTGCACACACAATAACATGCAAAAATACACACACTTAAAAGTGCAAAATCAAGCTCGTGCACACAGACATACAAACACACACACACACTCACAGACACACAATGCACATAAACCCACGACAAAGGACACACACTCACACACACATCATATCAGTGATGCATACAGCTGGTCCTGACCCCCATGGCGTGCCCCAGCCTAGCCCACCTGTTCACACACACACACACTTAAACAGACAGACACACACACACACACACACACAGACACACACTGTACACACAGACAGGGTGCAATTAAAGCAATCGTGAATGCGGCTCATGATGTGCTCTGTGACCCAGACAGCAGAGGGTCTGCAGCCAAAACACAGAGGAGAGAGAGAGAGAGAGCGAGCGAGAGAGAGAGAGCGAGAGAGAGAGAGAGAGAGAGAGAGAGTGAGAGAGAGAGAGAGAGAGAGAGAGAGAGAGAGAGAGCTCTTGTTTCATGGTGTTTAAATAGTTTCTCAGCAGCAAAGTGAAACTGAAAACAGCTGAATATTTAGTTTTACATCAGAGGAGAACAGAGTTTATGAAAGTGGAGACGACTTTATTTCTCAGTGAACGTGGATGAAATAATAATGAAAAGAAAATAAACCAAAATAATAATAATAAAGGAGACGAGCTGAAAGGATAACAACTGAAATACACGGTTTAAATTAGGAGATATATGAGACGGAAGGAGAGAGAGAGGAGAGAGAGAGAGGAGTATCATCCAGCCCTCGTCTGAAATGCAAACTCACAATTTTTACCACATCTAGATAGAGAACCGCAGCAATTTTCGCCAAATGTCGAAAAGTTTTAATTTGAAAAGAAGCCGGATGTTTTATTTTGTGTCTGTGCCCGACTTCCTTTCCAGCACGGGTTAATCTGTGCTGAATTTATCTGCCATGCTCCGGAGAGAAGTCGGTGGAAATTCCCTCCCTTAAATGGTTACGATCAGCTATGATCGGCAGATACGACCTTTTCGTAGACGTTCAGGATGCGGTGGAAATTCGGGGTGAGGGACAGAATGAGGAGCGAGAGTCTGCAGCGAACACAGACACTAACAAGCAACTTATTGTTGAGCAAAACGCACATTTTCCGTCCTTCAGCCGAGTGACCTTTCACCTCTTCTTTCTTCTTGCAGAGACTTCCTGTGTTGGGAGCGGGAACCTCCAGGGTCCAGCTGTAAGGTTCCTCCCTCCATCTCCGACCCGCTGAGCTGATCTCCTTCCTCGGCTTCGTTTCACGGCTTCCCTCCCTCTTCGCTCCGCTCCTCAGATCTCCTAAATCTCACTGCTGAAAAGATTGTCGAGAAACTGGACTGAAAACAGACGCAGCAGCAGCAGTTTCAGGGTTACCTCACAGATGATTTACTTCTGATCATTTTATCGTTTCAATGATTTCAGGGTTGAAGTCGAGTCCAGAAAGTGTTTGATTACGACGTTTACAGGGCTGGCTGAGAAAATGTAGTCGAATTTACGTTCAGATATATTCCTAACATGTAAAGAAAGTTGAAGAGTAAAGTCAAAAACGTTGATCTAATCTGAGAGGTGGAATCTAAAACCTGGACTGGCTTAACTCTTTATTTTTTAATGATTGTGTGTCATGGTTCGGTTTTCAGGCACAGAAGTCTGTCGAAACTTTAAAGCACTTCCAACTATGCTGATTTGAAAAGCCGCACTCACCTTACGTTGGTGTTTGGACTGACCTGAGATCAGTCTGGTTCTTCAGTTTTATCGTAAACACACCGTTAAGAGCGTATGCTGCTGGGGCGTAGCACATGTAGCATGTAACGTCCTAAAAACGAACACTTGGTGTCAGTATTTGAACTCTGTCGGTAGATCACAGTCGTAGAAACTCTTCATCCAGTGTCAGAATCACGATAACGTACTTCGTCAAAGTAAAGTAACACTGGAGCCGTGCGGCCGCCATGACGAGGGACAAGGAGAACCGAGGATTTGAGAATCATTCCCGACACGTCTGAATCAGAACCCTAAAACTCGAGACCATCATCTCCAGAACAAAGACAGTACCGGTTATCTGAAGTAGCAGTGACCCCGGTTTGAGGATGTGCAGGTGGCCGATGGACTGTTTCAAAGTCCCCTTTAGATGGACAGAGGAAGTTTGATTAAGGAATGCCTTATTTGGGCAGGGGTGGGGTCAAGAGTTCCTGGTAAGCACAGTTGTTATGGAAACCCTTCTGAGCGCGACTCTTAGATGGGAGGCTCCAAACTCTTGGTGTAATAAAAACTACATTGACCTCCGAAGAGTCTGACCCAGAGGAAGGTGGAGGTGATGATGCTGTTCAGGTGAAGATTGTCTTGATAGGTTATGAAGAGGGGCGCCGGTTCTCGGTAAGCACAGCTGATTCAAAACTCGTTATGAGGTGCAGCTTTTAGACGGTAAACTCCAAGTTCTCCAGCTCCCAGTATTCTCAGAACCACCTTAAAATACCAATAAGAGTTTTTGTGTTGAAGAAGTGAGTGGGTATTAGATCTTTAGATCTTCCAAGGGAATGAAGAGTTTGGCACTCTTTGGTCCGTTAAGGTATTTTCAGACTCTTGTGGCCACTTCTACTTTTTCAAACTCTCTGACCGACAGTTCCCGTTGGGTTGTACCATTTAGAAACGTGGGGGTAGCAGTGAAAGAGTTGGGTAAAGTGTTTGTTTTGAGGACCGTCTTGATGGGTAAAGAATTGGCAAGTTTTAAAATCCCCGCTCGAGTGAAACTTCCAGGTGGATTACTTCAAGTTCTCAAGAGTTAGGAGAACTTCATTCAGGTCCTGTTTGTTTTAACTCTGTAGAGACATGGAAATCCTGTGAAGATGACCTGCTTTGTGAGGGCAGGGCCGAGCACCTTCTGTCAGCTCAGACACAGTTCAGATGTTCACCCTGTGGTGTCCATGAATCTGGACTTGGCTGAGAGTAAAGGTGGAAGGTAGTGATGATGTTTTAGGGATTCCTTTAAAGACAAAGTGGTAAAAAAGTTTTGACGTTGGTGAGAGCGACCTAAATGTAAGAGGAAGGCAGTGGTGATGAAGCTGAAGTCCACCCTCTGTAGACCGTCTGAACGGTCGAGTCTGGCACTCTGAGTCAGTCGGGTCAGGAGTTTCAAAATCAAAAGGGCGGTAATCCTTAAAGATGTCTCAATTTGGAAAATCAGGGTCAGTCATTTAAGCTAAGCACAGTTTTTATCTTTGTCCCCTTGATGGTGAACTCGATTAAAAGAACCTTAAACTTTTACCTAGAAGAAGGCCCCAGAAGGATGTCCCTGAGATCTTAAAGACCGCTTTAGCCTGGTCCAGGACTCTTGGTGGTAGATTTTCATGTTGAAACTGCACAGCCCAACTGTTGCTACTGAGATTAAATAAGAGGAAGAAGAAACACGAAAGCTTCATGAACCTTTAAAGACCATCTCAATCGGGAAAGACCGGGTCGAGCATTTTTAAGCACAGTCAGTAACCGTTTATCAAGTGGCGAGAAATGCCTGAACCAACCACAAATTTAGAGGCCGGCATGTGTGGTGATGACGTCAGGAAGTCTACTGACCATCCCAGAAAACAGGGACTAAGATTGGTCGCTCTGGAGTACCGTAGTTGGTAAAAGTACCTTTGCAAAGTCAACTTTCTAAATATTTCTGAGAACCACCTAAATATGTCTAGAAGCACGACACCGTGGTAGAGGTGTGGCTAAGACCATCTTCTTCCGTCCGTAGAAAGATGCGTCACCCTGGAATAACCTCCAAAACTGGAAAAACTCGAATATTTGTTGATCAGTTACGGGATTTACCTGCTGCTATGGACGCCGTCGTGCTCCACATGGAAAGAAACGTGATTAAAGCCTTCAGGACGGATTCAGAACTAAACCGTTCCCCTCACGTTAGGAGCAGAACCTGCAAACTGAGGGTCGAACCGGGCGTCCAAAAATAAGCGAGAACACAATAAGACGATATTCTATCTATGCAACACGACCAAAGTTGGCGAAAGCTAAAGCGGTGTTGTTGTGTAGATGTCAGAGTTTGATGACTGTTGACATGGACGTGTGTTGTTATTAATACTGCTGTATGTATGTACACCATTACTGTACCATGTAATGACTCTTTCTTTTCTAGAAGACTCCTTAAAGATGGTTAGCGGTGATGCCGGGCGCTGAGACGGGTGTGTGTAGGACTAATAGGGTTTGAGATCACTAAAATATGATTGTGTGCCTTGCTCTACTGTAACTACTTCTACCTTTTTTTTGTGAATTAAAACCACTGCTCTCCTAGTAAGTGATGAAAACATGCAACAAAAATAACACGAGGAACAAAGTGTTTCCGGCGAGGTTCGAGTGAAGCTTGTGTATATATGTGGAGGTGTCAAATGCAGAGCGAGGAATGCTTGTTGTTTGTGTTTATTTAACTCTATATGTGACCTGTGATGTGGAATATCTTTACTATTAGTATTGGCCATAAAGAGCTTGACTGCATGGTTCCTGCCAACTACAATGTAAAACCAACTGTTGACAAATAAACTTAATTTATTGACAAAGAGGAATCTGACTTTTCTGTTTCGACTCTTCCTGCAGAGTTTGTTCGATTTTAGGCAAAGTTTCAGGAAAAACGCAAGTCTCTATGTCTTTAAATGCAGTCTGACCAACCCCCAATTCCACTTCCGATCGCTACCGTTGCCGATCGCCGGACTCCTCAGCTGATCACAGAGTTCTATTTTTTTCTGGACGCCGGAGCATGGCGGATAAATTCAGCACAGATTAACCCGTGCTGGAAAGGAAGTCGGGCACAGACACAAAATACAACATCCGGCTTCTTTTCAAAATAAAACACACCATGTTTCAGGCGGATTGTATTTGGCTGTCTTTATTTCTTGTGGTTCCTGCTGTCCGTAATCCGCAATGAAATTCGCCTCACAAACGGAGCCAGATGGAATTGGCGGACAGCGAAAATTGCTGCCGTTCCTGATCCGAGACTTTCCGGATGCGGGTAAATTGGGGGTCAATCTGACGGTGTATTGGTCCTCACGATCAGGTACCACCAGGTAACTCACAGCCCAGATTGATGGCGTCAGAATCACCGGGGATCAGATCTCACCTTGTTCGTTTGTGCAGATTTGACCATTTCCTTTACCCTCCCAGGAATGTTGGAAAACCAAAACATTTGGGCGCCATTTTAGCGTTGTTACTTCCTGTCTCCATCATGGTTTCATGGTTTCCTTCCTCATTCTTAGGCTTCATTCATTCTTCATTCTTCATCTTCATTCATTCATTAAATGGGTTTAAATGATGCTAACATAACCACCTCGGTGATACCTCAGGATGTCGAGGAAACTCCAAGTTTGTATGAACACAAACCAGAACCACAGGAACTTCTTATTAAAGGGATATTACGGAATAAAATGAATTTAGGGTCAAACATACCATGACACCGAGTCAGACACTCCGTCGAGAGATGAATGTTGCCGACCGCTTGTTTCCCTAGTTATACCAACTTTAGTAGCAACCAAAGGATAGAAATACACAGCGGTCTGAGGAGCCATAAACAAACCTCAAGTGGTCATGAAGCAAGCGGTCAGCAACATTCATCTCTGAAGGCGGTGTCTAACTGGTGTCATGGTGTGTTTGACCTTCACTTAATTTTTTGCCGGAATATCCCTTTAAACTCCCGTTATCATCACCTTCATTACCTCACTGACGTTTCGCTCCCTCACAGGTACCCGAGGTCTTCCCTGTTTTATTGATGTTGCTGGTTTTTGCTTGGTTGTGTTTTTGTAATAGGCCGGGTGTACTGACAGTGACACTGGACGCTGATAGAAGACTTAATCCACCTTGGCTGCTCCGCTTCCCGACGCAGACAACTTATTAGGGTTTTGAAAAATGCCTCCAAGTTATTATAAAGTTGGCAAAGCCTGTAAATTTTTACCTAAATTTGGCAGGTCAGCGAGAGTAATTTCAAGGTTTAGACACATTTTCTCAACTGTGGCTGAAAACAATCAAAGCGAAGCTGCTGTTTAGAGGTTTTCTTAGACAACAGACACGTGTCAGGACCTCAATCATCAGAAATACATCGTTAACATTTTTTAGATCTTCTAACAGGCTCATTTCTGCCCTTAATCAGACCTCTGTTTTCAGCCGGGGCCGCACGCTCAGACAGAAAGTTTACTCTGATGAGGGGATGAAGCACAAACGGGCGCTGAAGAAGGTGATTGGATTCGCTGATAAACACACACTTTGTGTATATTACCGGCTGTTAAATAATGTTCTCTTCATCAGGGAGAGGTCAGCGTGTGAAACTGGAAATAGCTGCAGGTGACAGAGAGAGGAGACGGCGGGATGATGATGATGAGGAGGAGGACGGTGGCGGAGGAATCGCCGTGATGCGCTGTTTACCCCGGCTGAATGCTAAGAGCCGAGCGCGCCTCTCGCTCTGCGCTGCAAATCACTCCGTCCCTGATTGTGGAGACCGGCCTTGATAACATCCTTCGAGAGGAACCTGGTCTGACGCGGTCGCTCCGGTGATGAAAAGTCTCTTTTTCGCTTCAGAACAAATCAAACATGAAAACGTTTACGGGATCGTGAGCTGCGAAGGACCTTGCTCAAGAGTCCCGCGGTAGTCCCGGCGTGTCGCGGCGCAGAGATGTGACACTTCCTTCTGTCTTTCAGAAAGTATCCGAGGATGAAAAAACGTCCGTTCGCTGCAACAAAAACACACTCCACATTAAAGCAAATTGCTCGGCGCGGTTGTTGATGGTTTCTCATTGTTGCGTCCCTCTCGGTTGGAGCTGTGATGTTGATTGTGGCTGAAGGGGCCTTCAGATGACTGATAAGCGTTGATGAATGAAAATGGAAATGCTTTTCAGCGTTTTGCCTTCAGAGGGAAATCAAACGGGGGAGGAAGGAGCGGGGCGAGCGGCGGAGGAGGGGGAATATTTGCCTTTTTGCAATTAACAAGATATGTTCTTTTTTTGTGGTCAGAAAAATGGAAATGGCTTTTAAGGTCGTAAAGGTCGAGCGCATCCAAGCATGGTGGCTCTGCAATTACTCTTCAGGCATTGGTCTGATTGGGGGGGGAGGCGAGGGGGGGTCCGGCCGCGCACCGACGGTCAAATTAACAAGACGGCCGGCTCCCTGTTGAAAAGATCACATGTGATTACCGTACATCAAACAGACGGAGCGCTCAAATTATCTCCTCTCTCACTGTGAAGTCCAGAAAAAGGGATAAAACGCAGACGGCTGATTAGTTAAAGGCTTTAAATGTCAAAACTTTCACTGTCCACAGCTTGAATGACTCCGTTTCCCCCCCGCTCAGAGGACAGGTGGGGGGTCGTCCTTCAGCTACAACAAATGAACGCCAGCGTGAAACAAACCGAGGACATCCTGGACATTGCTGAGAAGATCAAATGTGCTGTTATCCTCTGAATTAATCTGAATGGGCAGCGGTGGTAGCTCAGGAGGTAGAGAGGTCGGACAATAACTGGGAGGTTGGTGGTTCAATTCCCCCCTATCCTGAGGCTGTCAGTTGTGTCCTTGGGTAAGACTCTTAACCCACCTTGTTCCCAGTGTGTGTCAATCTGGACTGTTTTTCTACCCAAGTGTGTAACTGTAATCAGCTGATAGTTCGTAAACAAAGTTCCTTTAATTACAGTTTATACTCAGTCTCAGTTTTTACTCTGTCAGTTTTGGTTGGAGACACTGAGTCATGAAAGGTAAAGAAGGTCGAGGGGTCAAAGGACCAAAGAGGGAGGTCCCCGGTTTTAAAGAACATCAGTCCAGGTGTGAAAATACCTGAAGAATAAAAACCTTAAATCAGGATATCAGGTGATGTTGCAGCGATCACAACCTGTTCCCTCTGCAAAGACATTCAGTTTATTTAGTTCAGTTAAAGGGATATTCCGGAGTGAAATGGACTACAGCGGGGTGCCGCAGCTCAAGGAAGAACATTTATGATCATTTCTTCACAGAAATACAATCAGACCGAGACACTAAGACAGAAGAACTACCGTGTCAGCAGAGAAAAATGATTAATATGGTGATTATTACTTCAAGGAAATGATAAAGAAATGATCATAAATGTTCTTCCTTGAGCTGCGGCACCCCGCTGTAGTCCGTAATGGACTGGCCTGAGGTCTCGCTACAAACAAGCGGCTGCTGGAAGAGAGTAGGTGAGTTGTGTTTAGTCTCTTTGCTAAAGAAATGAGTCAAAGTTAAAAAGATGTTTGGTGTCTAGTACTATGTCTGTGACCCTATATGTACTAACCCCAGTAGAACATGTTGTAGTTCCGTTCAGTAACAGAACCTCATTGGAAAATTAGCTGATTTAACTTTACTGTGCTCTTGTTCAAATTTATTAACTCAACAGCACATAAATCCATACCTGTTAATAAAATCATGATTTTATTGATAATTCGGCTCAATAAAAACACCTTTACCTTTTCATTTTACTACAGTAGAAGTTTATTGGCCCAGCTTATAGACTACAGAAGTGGAGAAACGCCCCCGAACAACTCTGAATATAGTACTATGTCTGTGACCCTATATGTCCTGTTGATGAAGTTAGGTGCTGTTCTGAGCATTATTTGTGGTTATAGAGTGGCGTTTTGGTGTGATTGTGAGCGTGGGTGGTTGTTTGTCTCTATATGTCAGCCCTGCAGTGAACTGGCGACTTGTCCAGGGTGTCCCCTGCCTTCGCCCCAAGAAGCTTGGAGAGGCTCCAGCCCCCTGACGGCCCCCAAAGAGAAAAGTGGTAAATAATTGATGGACGGATGGTTCAGGTATTATTACCCCAAAATGTGCAAAAGTTTGAAAATACTGAGTCCACTTTAGATGTTTAACCGTCTACCTTCCTTTTAAATTAAACAAAAATTGACTCCTAATCTGGATTTTCTCGTCCTCTTTTTCTTAAACCTGTTAAATAAAATCTGCAGCAGAAGCTCTGAGA